GGGGGGGGGGGAGGCAACAGAGGGATAGTACCATCTGCCTTATACCCTTCCTGATCCTGTGTTAAGCATGGAGGCATGGGCCACTGACTTCAAGAGCAGTCTTGCCTGCATATTTGTAAACAGGATTAATTCCACTGCATGCTAAATTCCACAGAGCTTTTACAAAGAGCCAAAGCAAATTGCACTAACATTTGTTGTGTTTTATAACAAACCTGTCTCTGCCCGGCAGGGCTTTGGATCATATTACACATGAAAGAGTTTGGCTTCATTTCTAGCCTGGAAAAAGACTAATGATTACTAGTGAATTTTCCGTGACCCCTTCCGGTGAAAATACATGGTGGATGAGCCATCTTGTATAGAGGATGACAGCTACTACTGATAGGGTTTTTGGAAAGTTCACACTGGGCGTATCTACATCTGCAATTAATGTAACTGAATATACTGTGGCTCAAATTGAGCTGGAGTAAACTAATCCCAATAATGTCACTGCATTCTACTGTGGTGTAGCTGTGGTGTACCTGTGTCTGAAGGAGTAAAGTAATTTACTGTGCACTTACAGTAGCACACATAGATGGTGACGTTTTACTGCACATTAAATTAGTTTAATGTGCATTAAAGCACACATGTAGACATGCCCACTAGGAACTGGCTGTTTCTCTATCTTATCAGTGGACGTTGCAGCTCTAACAGAAAAGGTGCAAACTGGAGAGAAAGTAAAATGCCTATAAAACTCCATCTTGAAGATAGACCCAAATATGATGTACGTACTGTGACAAAAACAGAAGCCAGCAGCAAGCCAACAGAATAAATAAGTCCTCTGCTGTTTAACCGGATCTAAAAAAAAAAAAGAAAGAAGTTTATAGAACAAAGTAACAATTTTGAACAACAGGCTTAATCTCTGCTCACTCTTCTGTAGCTATCCACTGCAGAAACTCTAAACTAGTGGCTCCCAACCTTTTTTTGCTGTGACCCTAAATCCAGGTCGTAACCCCAACCTCCACTACCGATTCAGTCATGCCCGGCAGCACCAGCAGAGCCTGGACCAGGCCGGGATCACAGGGGGCACCAGCAGTGAGAGCCATGTGGACTGTGCTCCAGGACAGCCCTGCAGGTGGGAGGGGTGAAGTGAGGGGTAAACCCCTCATGACCCTGATTTGGTTCATGCCTCGAGGTTGGGAGCCACTGCTCTAAATGATGTCTCCAAAAATGCAGAAAGCCAAGCCAGATCATTACATTACAGATTTTTCACCCATTCTTTATTTTTAAGAAGAAGAGGTTTTATCAAAGAGTGATATGCTCTGGGACTAAGATCATTTCAAAGCCCACCACCCCCATGCTGGCTTTCATGTTTGTCTCTTTTCAGTCTCTTGTAAGCTTATATCATGGGAATGTGTCTCCTTTCTGATTTCCTTCTATGTGACTTCTGCCTGAACAAACAGGGGAAGGGAAACTTTGCTCTTCTACACAAACTGCTGTGTGAAGCACAGTAAAACAAATATGGGGGGTGGGAGGGATCCCTTTCTTTCCAGTTATAACTAGGCTGCAAGGAGACAGATGAAGTATCTTAAGGGATTCTTGGCCAAAATAAATCACCCTTGTCAGAGTAGTCATGTCAGTGTATACCGTTGAGGATCTAAGTTAATTAGGACTACGTGAAAACACTCTTCATTCTGTTCTTCCAACTAAAGTGTTTCTATGCCCCTGGCATGACCATAGGATTGGAGCATTTCATGGTTGTTAAGACACTGAGCCTTACCACACAGCTGGGAGGCAGGGCAGATGGAGAGTGAGGGAAGATCTCTCAGCACCTCACAGGTATTTGGGTGTCTTATTCTCATTGATTAGCTATCTAGGTAGGTTTGAACCCTGCCTCACACCCCTCCTCCCACAGTTCCTCTCTGCATCTATAAACACCCAAATGACTTTAAAAATCCACCCCTTTGGGCATGCTTATAGGGTTCCCCTCCCAACCCTGGGTCTGATGCTGATGAGATAAGCCCTGGCTACTTGCTCCTCCTGGAGTGCACCAGAGACTCACAATTAAACAGCTTGGGTGTGTTCAGAGAGGATCCCAGGGCTGTGCTCAGGCTGCCTGCCTCAAGAGAGCCAGGTGCTGGGGAATGGTGGATGCTTAGGACCACTGAGGCACTCCCAAGCCCCGTATTCCACCTGACTGCCAGTCGCTGGTGTGCCCTGGGGAAATGAATAGATGGGGCTTCTTTTATTGGCATCATAGCTGGGGTAGGGAGTGAAGCTCTATGGACCCAGCCTAAGTGCCTGTCCCAGGGCCTCACAGGAAGTCTGAAAGAGCAGGTAACATCTCCCAGCTCCTAGGGGTTGCTCTGAAGTAGGTTAATGGTTGCTTCTGAAGCAGTAACAGCTAGTGTATGAGAAAGAGCAGGCTAGTAATGCAAAGCCTCTCCTCCTCCACAGGCCCATGTTCATAGAAATCAAGGCATCTGCACTGGGATTTGAACTAGAGAGAAATGCTCAGGAATCATTTCCTTTACTGTAGAATTAACATCACCCCAATGAGAAGCAAAGCAGCTGCCCATTGTGGCACAGCCTATGGCACATTAAGCCTGAAGGAATTTCGCTTTTTCTCTACATAGTTATCAGCAGATGGGCCTATACAACCTAAGAGGACATGTCTACACATGCTATTAATGCTATAAAGGCTTACTGTGCAGTAACATACTGCACAGTAAACCTTCCCTAGGAGTGTGTCTATATATGTTCCCTGTTGGGAGCAAATCTGCTTACAACAGGAGCAGCCTGGTACATGACTGATCCTACCCTGCTCTGGTCCCCTGCAGCAGATCCCTGACAAGGTTCAGTCAGAACCAGTAGTAACCAAGACTACAATGCTATCAGTGGCATACTGGATGCTTCTGTCTGCTTAAGTTTTTTGGCAAAAAGTCAGTTTATATACTACACATATTTTTAAAAAAATCTTTAAATGAGAGCAGTTCTACTGTTTGTCTGGCTGTATTTGTTTTCGTTGAGTTACAGGAGTATTTGCATTAACATATCTCTGTTACAGGGCTCCAAGAGCACAGCCAGCATTACAGTGCTCTTCTGTAAGTAGGCAGCTTTCCAGCTCTTAATTACTCAGCTGGTTCTACAGATGTATATGGAGCAAAGCAAAAGCATTAGTTCATTACTGCAAATGATCTGCAGACCAGAAAATAATTCTGATGATAAAAAGCTCATACACCTCAAACAATATGTGCCTTGTTTCTTAACAGCTGGATTTCTTTCTGGTTTGTAAAATTGTTCTTAGTCTAATGAGCAATTCAAATCTGGATTTTCTGCCATGATGCGATTTGCTCAAGTGCCAACACAGGAAATACTAGTAGTGTGTATCACCACCACTCACATCTTCTTAGCTGGTTTTTAAAGTGGCATATTTGCAAGAGGACTTAGAATTGCTAAGGCAAAGAAAGAAAGTGCCTCATGGATTTCTTAGGTATTCATGCCACTTGACATCTACACTCACGAGAAAAAAATAGCCACATCCTAGGCCAAATGCTGCTCTTGGTAACACTGGTGTAACAACAGAGTAACACCACTGCTTTCAGTAACATCGCATAGTGCAACTGAGATTACAACTTGACTTGCCAGGTCTGGAAAAAACCATAACAATTATGGCATTTTGCAGTCACAATTCTGCCATAAATTTCAGGCAGTCAAATACTTTCATACACATGGAATCCCAATGGGCCAGAAACTGGGTACAGCTCCACTGCAAGATGAGAGTCACAGGTGGTTGACATACACAGTATGTCTCATCCTGTGGTTGTTCATGGTCCAGCACAATGAGCACCACTACAATAAAAATATATAGTGACAAAGATGAATTTAATTTCTATTACAACTATACACTGGCAATATTACGCTGGGGGGTTTTCAGAACCCCATGGCCCACCATCTTCTGGAAGTTTGCTGCTGTCTTGGACTTAGAGTCCTTTCATGTGGACTACTCTCATTAGTCTACCTGTTCAAGGAAATGAGGGTTTGGAATGCTTCAGAATGATAAGGTTCATTCTAGCCGTGCCTGGAGGACAGAAAAGTAATGATCCCACTGTTAATGTAAACTACAGGTTGCAAATGGCAGACAGGAAGATGTCTGTTTTTGTACCCATGGAAAAAGTCTCCTGAGCCACTTCCACTCGGTGCTTCAATTACCAGTTCTTAACAGCCTCACAGTTACAAACTTACAGAAACACTTACTCCTGAGTGGGGGACTTTGCAGTTACTATTCTCTGGATGCATTTACACAAGATGCTTTACCATGCAATTGACTAATTAATTGACTGTATGATAAAGCATCACTGTCTACACATGCAATCTACCGTGCAGTTAATCTGCTACCTGAAAATTCAGGTAACAAAGTAACTATGCTGTAGTTACTGTGTAGCAGTGCATGACAGCAACCAGGAGCAAATTTGCTCTCAGTCAGCCCCACCATCAGGGGACCACCCTCAGGCTAGCCCTAAGGCCACAGGGCTTGGAGTTTCTCCAGCCCTGGGACTGGTGAGACTCTTTGCTTGCCCCAGCCTGCCCTTTAAAACTCTGCAGTGACCCTGCGCCAACTGCAGCACCCTGCCCAGACCTCAGTGCTGGCTCCTGGCCCACCCACTGCCTGCCTGTCTCATGCAGGCTTGGACTCTTGCCTGCAGCCCCTAAAGGCTGTTGAGGAAGCGACACTGGCACTGTCCCCAATGCCACACACTACCTCCTGGGGGCGTAACTGGTCCCTGGATGAGACTACAGATCTTGCAGCCCTGTGGGGTGAGGCTGCAGTCCAAAACCAGTTTGCCTGGACCAGGTGTTTCAATACCCAAACTATGAGAGCCTGTCAGGCTGCATGTGGGAGTGTGGGCAGGACCAGTTGGCATGCCAGTGCCACATAAAGGTCAAGGCCCTGCAGGCACAGTGGGTTAGCTTCACTGACTACAACCACTGGTTGGGAGCAGCCTACAGGACCATGCCCTTTATGTGGCAGCTGGGCCACATCCTCATGCCCTGGGACCCTGGCCAGAGCCATACTGTGTTCTCCAGCACAAACAACCTGCCAGAGCATCCAGTATGGCCTGGCAGTGGTGACAAGCCACCAGTGGGGGACAGCCTTTCAGGGCACCAGGATCCCATCCCACTTTGGTCCCTGCCCCCAGCATCATCCAGCAGCTCCAGCAGCCTGGGTCAGTGCCTTCCCCTCCAACTCCAGGTGTGCAGCCCCACTTAGGAGGCCAGCATGGCCATAGCACTGCCTGCGTTCATGAGCTGTAGTCCCCTGTGAAGGGGGCCCCTGCCTGGCCAGTCATGTGCCACACCCTTGCACCCCAGGACACCACTGAGAGCCGCACATCACAGCTAGCAGGGACAGACTCGGGCCACAGGGCACATCTGCCATGCCCACCTGGTAAGGCCCACACTGGGAGGAGGGCCCTCACCTCCCCACCCTTGCCCCTGCCCCCAATCCCTACCTGCCCTGGCTGAGCTTCCCCTAGCCCCCGGAGTTCCCTCCTATAGCATGCAGGTTGGCGAGAGGCAGTGCAAAACTTTATTGAGCTGCAGTGGTGCCCCCTCAGATAGGCAGGTGAAATGTGCTGATACCGGTGGTGATGTCCTCAGCTGTGGGAGACAGGGATATATAGTGTAGGTATAGGTACCCCTCCAAGAAGTGGTGAACATTGCAGGGAAGCATGGGCTTTCCTGCTGCACCATAAAAGCTCAGGGTCCTGCGCCAGGTTTTCTGCTGCACCGGGGACACCAAAACAATCATCATCAGCAGGGTGTAGTGCACTGGGCACCCATCAGTCCTCGCGGTG